AAGCTGTCTGCACAGAGCCCAACGCAGGTCTTGAACTCAACAAACCATGAGATCATGACCTGAGCCAAAGTCAATTGCTTAACCAAGCCAGCCTCCCACAGAATTTCATTTTCTTTAAAAAAATTTAATGTCATATTATATATGATTCCAACACACAAAATATGTATAAACAAGCACAATATGAAATAACTCCCCATATGCCTCCCCTACCCCCAAAACATATTAAAAAAAAAAAAAAAAAGGACAAGATTAGGTAGGTAAGTTCAAAATTAACACTGTAAAAATATTACCACAGCCAATATTTCTTCATTCTTGAAAGCATCAAAGAAAAATTTTTAGTTTCAAAGAAAAGCACACCACTTTTGGTTAAACCCTAGGTCTTTTTCAGGTTCACAGTAGTCTGGCTATCAATCAAGCATATATGTCCATTGGCTGGGACATGGGCTCTTCTGTTAGAACTCAGCATTTTTTAAAAAGTGATTACTTGAATTATACACACAAAATTTAAACTCTAAATGAGCCCAACCATTGCTGAGACCCTGAATTTTAAAGAATAAAGAAGGGTCAGTAACCACTGTCATCGTGCATGCCAACCATCACTGCTTAACCATCCCTGTCCAGCCTTTGTGACTTAGCAGTGAGCATTTTCAGCATCTGTAAATTAACATATAAGTGGCCCACCTTCAGAAAAGCAAAGAGTCTTTCCAAGGACATGTAAAACATATCGTGAGAACTTAGCTTCTGACCTATAATTCTTTTCTACAGTCTGTCTCGGGCATCTGTCCTTAGTTTTTGGTGTTTTTTTGGTCAAGTATCTGTCTTTGCTTCTATTTCACAAACTGATTTTAGTATATTGCTGATACCTCAGTTTTCTTTCCTTTTGATTTTTAGCTTTGTATTTCCTGCCTTGGAGTCATCCAACCCATTGACAAATTATACCGGTACCATCCTCAACATACCTGTAGACTATCTTAGTATAGCATTTGCTAGTGAGGTTTGTATCAGAAAAATTAAAGAAAATTAGGTGCAGAAAAAGCCCCAAGTTGCATTCCGTATAGAAATGTTAGGACACTCTTAAATATAGAGAACAAACAGAGTTGCTGGAGGGGGTTGGGGGGGGGCGGGAATGGGCTAAATGGGCAAGGGGCATTAAGGAGGACACTTGTTGGGATGACCACTGAGTGTTATATGTAGGGGATGAATCACTGGATTCTACTCCTGAAATCATTATTGCACTATATGCTAACTAACTTGGATGTAAGTTAAAAAAAATAATAAATATATTATTTTTAAAAAATGGTAGAACATCATAATCACTTGTGAATATTTTGAAGTCCACAGAGTAGGTATGCATCTAAGATGTTGCCTGACAGAGATTTCAGGTGTCCTACTCACTGGCTATTGTATGAGAAGTATCTATTTGTTAACTCATATTGTTTAGTGACTAGTAAGTGGCATTTTTGGTATTCTACATTTATTTTACATGATATTTTGTTACTTACATATTGCATTTTACTGAGTTTTAATTTTTTAATTTTTTTTAATGTTTATTTTTGAGAGAAAGAGAGAGTGTGAGCACGTGAGGGGCAGAGAGAGAGAGAGAAAGAGACAGACAGACAGAGACAGAACCCTAAACAGGTTCTAGGCTTTAAGCTGTCGTCACAGAGCCTGATGCAGGGCTCAAACCCAACGGACCACAAGATCATGACCTGAGCCAATGTCAGCCACTCAACTGACTGAGCCACCCAGGTATCCCTGCATTTTACTGAGTTTTTAGACTACTTAGTTTTATTTAGGAAATCAGAGTGGGAAAGTGTTGAGTGATAGGTAATGAATTACTCTAAAACATCAGGGAATAGGTTCCTATTGAGCATTTTTGTGCAGAACAGTTGTTTTTCAAAAATGGTTATGGCCAGTAAGTGGGAAATGTGACCACTTGTAACCACTACTCTTACCAGCCTGGCCAAAGCCTGTACCATCTGTTCCCTGGATTCTTGTAATGAGCTCCCTATTTCTGTTCCTACTCCCTCTAGTTTGTTTCCATCATATCATGCAGAATAATCCTGTTAACAGTGTCAGGTCATGCCACTCCTGTGCCAAGAAAATTGCAGTAGCTCCCCATTTTACTCAGAGAAAAAAACCAAACTTCATTCATTGGTCCATAACATCCTTCTCTTTCTTTTTTCTCCTCCTGTATATCTATAATCTAGATCATAATGTGAAATTAAAGTATATATGTTTATTAGTTACTGGGTTTTTTGAGTTAATGTTTCACTTATTCCCCTTAAAGAAAAGAAAATCATAAATTGCATAGGATTTTTTAATTCTTCCCACAGTAAACGGCACTCACTAGATAGACACCCCTATTTTAAGGGGATATATTTCTTCATCTCTGAAATGAAGGTAATACCTATAAATAATATCTAATTGTCTCAAAGCAGTCTTTCTCTTGGTTTTCTTCTAGTAGTTCATATATTGTCCTCACATCTCCATTACTGTGGAGGGTTTTCTTTCTCCTTCTCTAGAACCTCTCTTTAGGTCTTTCTTTGAATAGCTTTTTTGGGCAATGAAAAGCACTCTATTGTCTTTTTTTCCCCCTATTACACCTTTACATATGTGTAGAAACCTTCATTCACCCTAAATAGGCTGTGACATGAACAGTAAAGTTACTTAGGGATTGATGATGGTTGCCTGGTTTATTTCTGGATTTGCAAGAAATTTTCAAGTAACAATTCATTCTAGAAAAATAAAGCAAAAAGTGAAAGGAAAACTAAATGATTTTTGTTAAGAGCCTTCTCTCAGAGTGGAGCAGGGTGGAGGGGAAGAGTTGATCTGTGATTAATCCAAATTTAATTTTAATGGAACCTAAAACTTCAAAATACATAAGCTTTTCTCCTTCTGTAGCTTATGTGTCCATTTTCTTTAACATATATCACCCAACTATTTTTTATTTTTAATTTTTTATATTTATTTATTTTTTAAAGTAGGCTCCCTGCCCATCATGGGGCTTGAACTCACAACCCTGAACTTACAATCAAGAGTCACATGCCCTACTGACTGAGCCAGCTAGGTTTCCCCAACTAGATATTTTTTAAATCTTGGGGCACCTGATTGGTTCAGTCGGTAAAGTGTCCGACTCTTGGTTTTGGCTCAGGTCATAATCTCACGGTTCATGGGTTCAAGCCCCATGTCAGGCTTTGCACTGACAGTGCAGAGCCTGCTTGAGATTGTCTCCCTCTCTCTGTGCCACTCCCTCTAAATAAATGAACTTAATTTAAAAAAATTTTTTTAATTAAAAAAAATGTTTCCCAAATATATATATTAGAATGTTTGTATATAATGTTACATATTTACTTTCCAAGGGAGATATTTAAATATATGTATATAAGCTCATATATATTTAAATATATATATCTTAAGAATATGTATATACATAGAATATGATGTTGGATTTATTGTTGTGTTTTTACATAAAAGAGCTTTGTTATATACCACACAATTGAGCTTTTTGTTTATTTCTGTGAATTCATTTCTCTTCAGGTAATTTACGGTATCATTTAAACTTAACTAAAGTTTGAAGGCTTTGCTTCTCCAAAATTGCAGTTCACAGATATTACTTCATGGTATCATTGATGTTTGCAAATAATCAGTTATAAGTTCATCTCAATACAATTTGAATATCTGTATGTAAAAACATTGGAGAATACGAACTCAGAGTGTTAAAATTACTTTGAAAACTTTGTTGCTTGCTTCAGTTTTAAAACTTTATAGCCATTGATTTCAAATTGATTTATTTTTCATTTCTGCTCTAATGAATTGGAGAAAAATGGACAGGTCAAATAGGATCCTGGGTGCTGTGGTTGGTTGGCATTTATATAGTTCTTTCATAAAGGATTTAATAAAAGGTGACCTGAAATGCAGAAATGTAATCTATAAGACAATCAAAGAAAAACAGTTCTTTTAAGCACACTGTCAGTATTGTATGATTCCTGCTCTGTAACTGTAATAATTTTGTATGTTTGTCGAAAGATGTAAGCTATATTCAATAATGAGGATAGCAGGAATTTGAGACTTCATGTACATTTCTGTTGTCACAGGAAGGTCAGCCTTTTGAAAAGGGATAGAAATGAACATTTCTCCAGAATTACATTTCCCTTCATTTTAGGCTATCTCTTAATTCCAGCATTTTTACTGTGTTTGGTAAATAGGCCAAATATATATTTTATTTATTTGGCAGGGGAGGTGGTGAAACTTTACAAATTTCAACTGGCATTGCACTTGGCTGATAAGAATGGGAGTTTGTACCGCTCTGAAGAGATTACATGAAGTAGAATTGGAAAGCAAATTGTATTTACAAAAGATAGGATGATGTTCCTAATAGGTGTTCAGAATAGACTATTCACTCTCATATTCTGCTGAGCTTTACTAGAAATAACTTCATTTCAAAAAAAGAACAAATCTGATTGAAGGTAAAAGCATTCCCTCTCCACAGACACTCTTCCAAAGGACTTACATTAAATTTTCCTGATGGGCACACAGCTGTATTTTGAGCTGTATCTGTATAAACTGTAATGTGGAAAATAAAAATCTAAATAGGACACCTGATTGCTTCATGCACCAATCATTTAGATTACTAGATTTATATCTATAATTTTGGAAGAGAAGTTGCAAGGTGATGTTCTGACAATAACTGTCAAAGTCATAATACTAGGATCTGTTTTCATCTTGTTGTCAAGGTAAAGTTATTGAAATTCACAGTTGGTAGGTCACAAAGATCACTTCCTATCTCTTGTCATCTGTAGCTTAATGCTGACCTAAGCGGCTGGTGTATAATGTCAAAATTATCACGGTGCCCAGGCTGCAGAAGTACAACATGCTACATGATTTAATGCATTTCCTGTCTGGAATAAAGATTATGAAAAGGCCAACAACCATGAGCTACAGTGGTTTAGAGAGACTTAGTTTCTAATTTTGCTTTCTCCTTTTCCCATTCATTTTAGATTTTGGATTTAGTAAAAGGGACACATTACCAAGTAGCCTGTCAGAAGTACTTCGAGATGACACATAATGTAAGTACATTTTTAAACTTTATGGCCTAATCCTTTGTTTTGTTGTTATTCTGTGTTTCATTCAGGGTTTTTAGTTGCAGCTCCAGCTATTTTCACCAGAAAGGGATTTATCACATGGTATTAGGTAACTTATAAAATTGATAGAGGGGCCAGAGAATTAATCTAGGAATCTACAGACCCAGAAATACTGTAACAAGGAGAAGCTACACAATGAGAAAACCTTATTCTACTACAGCTGCCACCCACCATTTCACGTCTAGGGATGAGACCGAGGGCCAGTAAACTTTTTTAGGAAAGTGCCAGATTGTAAAAATTTTAGGCCGTATTGTCCATATGGTCTCTGTCAAACTGCTCATCTTTGCTTTTGTAGTCCAGAGCGGCCATAGATCATATATAAAGGAACGAGCATGACTGTGTTCGCGTAGAACTTTATTTACCAAAACAGATAGTGGGCTGGATTTGACCAACGGCCTTAGGTAGCCAAATCTTGGAGTAGCTGTAGAACAGTTGCCCTAGGTGCCCAGGAAAACCAGAGGCTTTTGCCATCTTCCCTGTAGAAAATCTGTTTTACTTCTGGCTGCCACCTCATGTTACTCTTATTTCCCATATCTCATATTTACCTGCATGGCTGAACTTTAGTTACATGTAAGACCCCTGACTGCAAGGGACTCAAGGAAATGTGTTTGGTGTTTATCTTGTTAGCCTCTTTTGCCATGCTTCTATAGTACAGGCATACGTTGGAGATATTACGGGTTCGGTTCCAGACGATCATGATAAAGTGAGCTGAATGCATTTTTTGGTTTCCCAGTATAGATACCAGTTATGTTTCCATTATACTGTAGTCTATTAAGTGTGTAGTAGCATTATTACAGGTATTAATAGGTATTTTTGCATACCTTAATTAAAAAATACTTTATGGCTAAAAAATACTAACCACGATCTGAGCTTTCAACAAGTTATAACTTTTTACTGGTGGAGGTTCCTCCCTCCATGTCGATGGCTGCTGACTGTTCAGGGTGGTAGTTGCTGAAGGTTGGGGTGGCTGTGGTTGGTTTTAAACATAAGACAACAGAGAAGTTTGCCGTATCAACTTAACTTCCTTTCATGGATGATTTCTCTATAGCATGTGATGCTGTTTGGTAGCATTTTGCCCACAGTAGAACGTCTTTCAAAATTGGAGTTTGTCCTCTCAAACCCTGCTGCTGCTTCCTCAACTAAATTTATGTCATGTTCTAACTCTTTTGTTGTCATTTCAACAATCTTCCCAACATCTTTACCAGGAGTACATTCCATATCATGAAACCACTTTCTGTGCTCATCCATAAGAAGACTCTTTTGTCTACGTTGAAAATCTGTTGGTTTAGTGTAGCTCCTTCATTTGTTACCTTATCTAGATCTTCTGGATAACCTGCAGCAGGTTCTGTGTTAACACTTGGCTGCTTCACCTTGCATTTTGAGGTTACAGAGACTGCTGCTTTCCTTAAACTTCATGAACCAACCGACCTCTGCTAGCTTCACATTTTTCCTCTATAGTTTCCTCACTTCTCTCAGCCTTCATGAAATTGAAGAGAGTTAGGACCTGGCTCTGAATTAGCTTTGGCTTAAGGGAATCTTGTGGCTGGTGTGTCTTCTGTCCAAACCACGAAAACTTCCTCCATATCAGCAATAGGGCTGTTTTGCTGTCTTATCATTTGTGTGATCACTGGGGTAGTACTTTTAATTTCCTACAAGAACTTTTCCTTTGCATTCACAACTTGGCTAACTGGCACAAGAAGCCTAGCTTTTGGCCTGTCTCAGCTTTCAACATGCCTTCCTCAATAAGCTTAATCATTTCTGGCTTTTGATTTAAAGTAAGAGATTTGTGGCTCTTCCTTTCACTTGAATACTGAGAGGCCATTGTAGGGTTCTTAATTGGCTTAATTTCAGTATTGCTGTGTCTCAGGGAATAGGCAGGCTGTAGGAAAGAGAGACAGGAGAATGGCCAGTCAGTGGAGGAGTCAGAACACATACAACATTTATCACTTTAAGCTTGGCGTCTTATATGGGCATGGTTTCTGATGCCACAACACGATTACAGTAGTAACATCAAAGATCACCATAACAAAAATAACGAAGTTTGAAATACTGTGAGAATTACCAAAATGTGACAGAGACATACAGTGAGCAAGTACTGCTGGAAAAATGCCAATAGACTCCCTCAACTGCAGGGTTGCCACAAACCTTCAATTTGTAGAAAACACAATATCTGGGAAATGCAATAAAACAAAATATGCCTATATAAGAAGACCAACTAGTAGGTTCTGAAACGTGTAAAGCAAGGGTCACAACTCAGAGGCCTACAGAGGTTAGGCAAATAACCCAAAAAAGTGAAGGTAGAGGTATCGGGGTGACTCAGTCATTTAAGTGTCTGACTCTTGATTTCAGCTCAGGTCATGACCTCAGAGTTGTAAGATCAGGCCCTTCATCAGGCTCTGTGCTGGGTATAGAGTCTGCTTAAGATGCTCTCTCTCTCTCTCTCTCTCTCTCTCACTTTAAAAAAAAAAAAAAACTGTGAGGGGCGCCTGGGTGGTGCAATCGGTTAAGCGTCCGGCTTCAGCCAGGTCACGATCTCGCGGTCCGTGAGTTCGAGACCCGCGTCAGGCTCTGGGCTGATGGCTCGGAGCCTGGAGCCTGTTTCCGATTCTGTGTCTCCCTCTCTCTCTGCCCCTCGCCCGTTCATGCTCTGTCTCTCTCTGTCCCAAAAATAAATAAAAACGTTGAAAAAAAATTAAAAAAAAAAAAACAAAACTGTGAAGGTGGCTGAGATTAACACCAGAGAGTATGGGAGGCACCATGGTGTGCTGATGAATTCACATCCTGTTAGGGGCATTCACATTGACAAGTTTGAAGACTGTATACAAGTCAGTAGAACACATCTACAGGTGAAATTCAGCTCACTGACCCCCTGTTTGCAACTGCTGGTCTTGATCATGGCTCCCTAACCTAGGATAGACATCCAACTTCCTGAGACATTTTTTTCTGTGAGTGTATATGTGCATTTTTTCGGAGTCTGTTGTTTATCAGGTTTCAAAGGGATTCATCCGTGACCCTCCCCCAAAAGATGTTGCATTCATTGAATTCATCATCAGCTACCATGCTACCCTGTTTTATAATCATTTTTATTTTTCCTATTTAGTTTAAAAAAAATTTTTTTTCAACGTTTATTTATTTTTGGGACAGAGAGAGACAGAGCATGAACGGGGGAGGAGCAGAGAGAGAGGGAGACACAGAATCGGAAACAGGCTCCAGGCTCCGAGCCATCAGCCCAGAGCCTGATGTGGGGCTCGAACTCACGGACCGCGAGATCGTGACCTGGCTGAAGTCGGACGCTTAACCGACTGCGCCACCCAGGCGCCCCTTTTCCTATTTAGTTTTTATGGAATATTTTTTATATTTTGGTTACATAATAACAGAATCTCTTAGTATAAAATATTTCATAGGAAAAGTATATCCTATAATATTACCAATAATGAATACAGTACTGTAACCGACATCTGTAGAACCCTTAACACATGCCCAATACAGCACTAAGTACTTTGACCACATTAGCTCTTTTGATGCACACTACAGTGAGGTACTATTTTTATTCCCGTTTATGAATAAAGTTTAGAGAAGGTGAGCAACCTGTGTAAGGTCCTACTGCTTATAAGAGATGGACTAAGTAAGTCATTAAAGCTTATGAGCCTGACCATGACTGTGTACTTCTATAGAATCTGATACTGTACCTGTAATAATGACTGTGGAGGTCACTAGCATTTTCTTGTCTACATTTATGATCCAACTATCATAGTTTATGTTAAAAAAAAAAAAAAAACCTGAAAACCAACAATTCTACATGACTTGCCCAAGGTACCATAATTTGTAAATAGGAGATCCGGAGCCAGAACCATCCCTACCACTGTCTGCTGTGGGTCTTCCCCTTCTTTCTATTACACCTAACTGTTGAAAATATTACTGTTATTTACCACCATAAAGACTTTGTTTTCACAAAATTTAAAAGACAAAATAAACCTCACTTAAATAGAAACAAGCACAAATTCTCATTAGTTTTAGCAGTCTAGGAATCTCACCCGATAAGCCACATTTGTTTGATATTTTCCGCACCAGTTTTGAATTAACCTTTTTCTTAGAGACCATATTCCTTAATTTGCCTACTCAGCTTGAGAGTTCTTAATTATTTGTGGATTCTCTTTAATAAGACGCCTCAGAACTTCCACAAATTAAGGTCTGTCATTCAACTTCTTTCCTTTTTTAAAAATAAGATGTGAAAATTAGATTTAAACATTGAGTTTGTGACATAATCACAAAAAATAAGAAGAAAATTTCTAGTTCCCAGATCTGCTTTTGTAGTATCTACTGAGTATTCTTTTCTTACAGGAATATTACTGCTATGGGCAATTTAAAAACTTGCCTTAGATTAGTGAAGATATTGAAAAGATGTATGTCTAAATCCTCCCACATATAATTTAAGCCACATAAAAATCAATGGAATAAAAAGGCTGTTTGAATTCGCTAGATGTCTCATTATAGATTTTTAGTTGTGAATGTCTATTATTTTTTCTCATTAAATTAAAACTAGAATCCATTTTTATTGTCAGTTTTCTGCCATCCTGCCTGCCTCCCCGCTTAACAAAAACTTTTAAAGCTACATTTATTTTCCTGAGGATTTTGCGATCAAGCTCATTTTAACGAAAGTTTTGAAAATGAACCAGTTAATTGATACCATTTACAGCCGCACTATGATAGTTCCATATGGCTTTTTTGGTAATACCAGCTGCCTCATTATAAGCTGTCATTGCAAAATCTCTTGATTAAAACCCAAACATCCCATAGGTAAAACAATATTGCTTCCATTCCTTCAAAATCTACATTTGCTGTGGCAGAAATATGAGACCTATGTTTGTGTGAAGGTCATCGTGTGCAGAACATGTAGATTCCAAGCAAATGTTTGAGAGAGATTC